TTGTGACATCGTGCTCGAGCTCCTAAAGAGCCACCTACAGGCCTTTGTCCAGTTGTGCCGCACATGACGACTTACTCTTTCTTGACATAAGTTGTCAGTCATGCTGGTTGGCGACGACCACCAACCTCAAGTACGTATTGACGGTCATGACATAGATGTGCCTGAAGCTATTAAGGATCTGGGTGAAGCATACTCCCACTGTCTTAATATTTCGGAGCATTGTACCCGGATAGTCTCAAAAGCACTTAGAACGGCTGGAATGATTTTCCTAAACTTTGAAACCAGCGATATTAGAAGGCGCCTCTATAGCATGTACGCTAGACCTCGCCTGGAGCACTGTTTATTTTAATTTAGCTTCAGGCGTGCTGCTGAGCGGAAGAAAATAGAATACGTCCGACATTTTTTACCGAGAAAGTTTTAGCCTCGGAATACCGACAATTGTCATATTAAGAACATTGCCGGCTTATAGGGCAGCAGTCGAACTGCCTTGATCTTATTTTTACCCGAGAGGAGGAAAACGTGTTAGACCTGCAGGACCGACAGCCATTAGGGTCAAGCGACCACATCACGCTCTACTTCGAGTACTCACTGTTTTACAAACCCGCCCAACCCGAAAGGTGGGAGAGAAACATTTGGAAAGGTGACTATTCTCTCATGAGGAGGGAAGTGGCAGCTATATCATGGGAGACTGAACTGCATGGTCGAGCGAACGATAACTGGAATACTTTTAGTTCCTTACTGAAAGAGATTGTTTATTCCAATTGTCCTCTTAGAAGAAAGAAAATCACAAACCGCCCAAAATGGATAAACCCGGACTTGAAGACCTCTTTCAGAAAAAGAAATCGTCTGTGGAGGCGTTACAGACAAACTGGCTCCGACGAACACTTACAGGAATATAAGCGGCAACGAAACGTCTGTAAAAGTGAGGCCTCAAAGCTGCGAAAGAACTTTGAGTTAAACATATTCCGAAATTCGTTGGAGCATCCGAAAATTCTATATGGTTATATACGAAGTACTAAAAGGACTCAGGAGCTCATCCCTGCCCTCAGGTCTGCAGATGGAAAAGTGGAGATTGATGACCAGGTTAAAGCGTCCCTCCTTTCCGACTTCTTTCAGTCCGTTTTCGCCCGAGAACCTAGTGCTATATCTGCCCATCCATCCATTCGCCAAACAACCTCTCCTCCCAGTACCCTTCCCCATCCTATCCCCTCCCTACCCTCCTTAATCGAGGAACCAATCTTTTCATCAACCATTGTTAGGGCCGAGCTACTCC